ATGTAGCTTAAGCATGATTGTTCATAGTTAAAGTGATTAATTACCCGCCTGGCACTTAGTTAAGAGGTTTTATTCCCTCCCTAACTTCAGGGGAAAATCCCTACCTGGGGAAACAACCTTTCTCAGAGACCTTGGTTAAAACACATAATGCCAAGAAGGTGAGCAAACATATTAAGAACAGTATGCCATATATGCCAGGTCCCTTGAAACAGCAAGCATGGACCGGCTCCCGGCACTCTCCTTCCCTCCTTATGTATTCTAGAAATACTTATATTTTAATGCATTCTGCTTCCCTTTAATCATGTAGGGGGAGAGAAAGTGAGACATTCCTTATATATACATAGATACACTGTGTCCCTCTTACCACTTAGGTGGTGTTGTGTTGTAATCTGGTTGACAGGGCTGTTAAATATCTTTGCAAACATTTCTGTCTCCCTTCTCCCCTCACTCCCTCCCTCTATTTCTCCATCTCTCTCTATCTCTTCATCTCTCTCTCCACAAACACACTCACACACAGAGCTAAATGCACCTTGTATACAAATGGGGTTTTATGTTCATTGAAATGGAATGAAATTTCATGAAACTATACTAGTCTGATGAAGTTCCCATTATTGTAGCAAGCACCATGCCAGTCAGTAAGTTGTTTTATATTGGGATGGGGGAAGTTATTTTTATTGTGAAAAAACAAAACCCTACATATTTCTTGAATTTGAATCACTTTTAAATTCTAACTTGCTGATAATCTAGTAATTGAATCATTTTTATTATATGAAACTACAGTGATATCTTTGTTGAGATTAGAAACATTTCTTTAGAGGATATATGAGAATATCATGATGAACATTTGGGCCGGTCATCTTTTGGAGCCATGAACCTACTTTTAAGCAAATGTCCCATCTGTCTTACCTGATTATCATTTCTTACCTTAAATATGACAAGTTATGTGTACTATGGGAAGTAATTTAGTACTAAGCATATTTCTAGCCAGGAGAATTCTTAAGTTTTTCCTAAGGACTGGACTTAAGTTTTGAATGATCTACCGTAAACTGGAAGCATATGATCTCCCCAGTTCACTCTGGTCTCACTATTTTATTTGTGGTGTAAAATGCTGAAGTCTGACATCTTTTTCTTGAGATTGGTTTAATCGCCAGAAGCTTGAATGCATATATCTAACACATAATAATGGAAAAGTTAACAAATTAATTTAACTTTCAATGGACCTAGTAGAAATTTATCCTAATCCATTATCATGATTTATTTAGATAGTTTGTTGTCTCTCTATCCAACCCCTACTCATATACATAGATATGGATAGCCCCCATGAAACTATGACAAGACCAATAATCCATTTGGAATATTACAGCTGATTAATCCTCCATAACTGTATGTCAAATATTTGCCTCATTTTTACTCTTCTTCCCTGATTTTACATTGTTCCTCTAACTTCTCTTTTGCCCTCACTTTCCGTAACACATTCCTATGGATGTTAATCTCATCTCATACTCTTGTCCTCTGAAAGCTTCTATTCAATCATTTATTGGGTACATTTCAGACTTACACATTTTAGCCTTCAACTGGCAGGGCATGGTGTGATATACCTAATAAAACCCATCTGACTTTATCTGAAAATGGACATTTTCAGACATCCCACACTTCCCTTAAAACCTTAATGACATTTCTTCTTTCCTGACTCTTACATACCAATAACTAATTCCAACCTGTTATTTCAGCCTCACTTCTCACCTGTCCCATATATCACACCCTACAAACTGGACTCCTCGACATTTCACAAACTGTGTTTCCTGCCTCCCAGCTTTATTGAGTCCATTCTTCCTTTCTACAGTGTCCTAACCCCCACTTCTGAGAGTTCTCCATCTTTTAAAGCATTGAGTTCTGAATTTGGGGAGTCTATAAACTCTGAGAAAATGAATCTAAAATTTTGTAGACTGTTCTTAAATACATTTTTCTAAGTAGAGGGGTCATAATTTCTATCACATCCTCAGAAGCAGACTAAGACTCCCTCAAAAGTTAATGAATAAAGAAGTTTTCATTTTCTTCTACATCTCTGAACTACTCTTTTATTTTTGACACATATGGCTTTGTTTAATTTTACATTTGTACATACATTTGCCATACCCTGTATCTCTTGCCAGATTATAATATCCTTGGGTTATGAATTTTTTATCACAATTCCCTGCACACTGTGTAATATATGATGGGTGCACAGTCATTGTGTAATAAATTAAACCTATCTTGTAAAAAATAGATCAGGGCTGTGATCCTTTCATGAGATAAGAATTCTCTTCAATGTTTTCATTGAATAAATATGATAAATACATGTTATGTATTTTTTGTATGCTTTTTTGTAATTCTTATCTTAGCTAGGTGGTCACTAAATGTTATGGCTTCTATTGGGACTAATTAATGCCTCAGAGAACTCATGGGTATTTGGACCCTGTGAGCTTCCAAGTGGGTTCCTGTGCACTTGCTCAGAAGCTGGTCCTCTGCTTCAATCAACTTTTATTTCTTGCTTGTCCTATCTTCCCATGTTTCCTCCTTCTGTTGCTTGCCTCTCCAAACTCAGTATGGGCCTAAGTCAGGGCAGAATATTTCTACAGCCAAAAGAAATAGTTCATTTTAAAAATATATATATTTTATTGATTTCAGAGAGGAAGATAAGGTCAAGGTAGAAACATCAATGATCAGAAAGAATCATTGATCGGCTGCCTCCTGCACACCCCACACTGGAGATTAAGCCCACAACCCAGGCATGTACCCTGACCAGGAATCTAGCCATGACCTCCTGGTTCATAAGTCTATGCTCAACCACTGAGCTACGGCAGAAAGAGTCCATTTTTTAATTCTGTATTACAAAGGGACAAAAGGAACTAAAATTCTCAAGGTCCAAATAATTCTAGAAAGTCGGCATATCTCTAGGGAGCCCAGTTTGAACCAAGGCATTTTCTGGACTTTATGACTCCCTCAAAGCTCTTCAAAAGCTGGCCCTAAATGAGAGGAACACTTCCTAACACCCTGGCCCTCTCGGGAATGTCTAGAAGTCTGAGATCACTGTAGAGTAGCAATGTAGCAATAGAAGCAGATCATCTAACTTCTTTTCTTCTGAAAAATAAGTGCTCTTTTATCCAATTTTAAATTACTGATTAATAAACCCAGACATGGATTTCTCCCTCATTGTTGCTCAGCTGTTACATTCCTGATAGTTTTGACCTTTCATCTAAATGTATAAAATTAAACGATGCAGATCATATTATTTTTATTTAGTACACTGAACTCTAACCTCAAAATTTTCTCCCTCAAACTCTAATGAAACTGTAGGTATTTTGGCAAATTAAACTTTTGAGCAAATGCTTCCTAGAAGTGATTGAAAGTTATTCTAGCTTTTTAAAAATGTTTTCTCTTTTAAAAGAAGAGCATTTATTGATGCCCTTTTAAGAGATCCTTTACAATTTTACAATATAACATTTCAGTGAAATGTTTGTTTACTCATTAAATTTCTGTTACTCTTTCTGTATTGTATCGTGTTTCACTTGCACAATATCATTTCAGGTTATTCTCAAGTATTAATGATAAACTGCATTAACAACCCATTTGGCAGAGAGAAATGTCTTAGAACCCAGTTTACTTAATTTTGTGATCTAAAAAATGTTAACACTAGAATAAGACATAGTATTATATCTTATGAATTAATAAAAGTATAAGAAGAAGAACCAGTCACTTTGAAAATAATATAAAATAAAATTAAAACGATTAAGTCTCATGTTTAGGAGAAAATTATGTATATTTGAGACTGAATGTCTGTGTATAAAGTATTCCACCACTAAGAAATTTGAAAAAAAAATACTTTGATATGGATATTGCCATCCTTTCTCTTTTTTTGTGGTGGGAGTTGGAAGTTTATTAACATATCAAGGAGTCATTAATGTCCTTAACCAGTGGAAATACAAATAAATTATCTTTACTTTAAAGGATTAAATATTTTTATAACTTCTTATATTGAATTATTTATTTGATCAGATGGTAAAAATAAAAATAATGATATGGATTTTCTCTCTTAAATAATATAATGTGATTTTTGTTTAACTTTAGTTAATATCATTACTTAACCTCATAACCAAATACAGAGTGTTCAGAACCAAATTATAGTACATGCTTTATAGTAGGAGCTGATGGATAGATATCTCTAAATATGAGGTTATTGGGAGCACATCTCATATCATTGACACCTGCTACTTAATTAAGGTGTTAGATTGCTCGTGTGCTGAGATTACATGGAATAAAACCTTCTGTGGTTGTCCCTTTTCTTTCTTGGCTCTGAATTTTTTTTCTCTTCTATGTTCTATTTCTTCTGTCATTTATAATAGCTCCTTCTCACCACCACATCCTAAAGCATAATGTAGGCACCCTGATTACATCTTAATGTTTGTTCATACTAATGACCCTCCACTTCCAAATTTTAATACAGGGTTAAGAGAGTGGTGGATAGATTTAATAGTTTTTGAACATTAATGAAGGTGTCTTTGCACATTTGCATTAAAATACTAATGCATATTAAACAAAATCTGCACCATAATTTTTCTTTTATGAAAGAATAGAACAGAAATTAAATACTCTTCAGGTGGGAGAAAATTTAGAAAGGGTGCTTCCAATCCCACATCTTGATTTATGAAAGTCAAGAATGTTTTCTCAGAGCTGGAAAAATCCATTGGGGTTCCTGCTCCTCTGGTCTCCATTCTGATTATAATTAGAGAATGTTTTTAAAAAAAGGTTTACTTTTGTAATTGGACTTATTATTGGTATGCATATTTTTATTTTATTCTCCGGGGGTGGGGGAAGATGGTGGACACACAGTTCTGATGAGATATTCATTTGCCACCATTCAAGAAGAAATTGAACTTTAAAAGTCTATCAAAAATTCTCTGGGGAGCCTTTTATTACTATCTTGTCTTGAGCCCTTTTTTTTTAATGACATCTATTATCAGATTGAAATGGCGATTGAGACGCTGCAAAAGTCTGACGGTCTGTCCACTCACAGAAGCTCTCTTCTCAACAGCCATGTAAGTTGCCTCTTCATGTAAACTAATCTCTTGCTTGTTCTGCATGTGTTGCTTGCTTCTAAATGCTTGTTTTATTTATTTACTTATTTATTTTGCTTCTTAACCTTTCTTTCTCAGCCTCTAAGATCCCTGTATCACTTAATAGCTATTTTGTACAGTGGAATATCTAAAAAGTAGAGTCCCAAGTATAATGCTTGACTAGGTTTTTGTACTGTTTTGATACAAATATAACATTTCCAAGTTAATAACAAGCTGCTGTTTTATTTGTAAAATGTAATTAATGGGAATATTAAACATTTAAACTTTTCTATTTTAATATTTATTTACTATGAAGCAAATGCTTATCTGCATCTATCTCTGTCTGAGACAGAGATACGATTATGTCTACTTATATGTCCAGTAATATTCTTTAAGTGGAAAAAAATATTATTAATGCCAAAACCCAATAGTAAACTATTTGAAAATGACTTGCTTATCAGAAAGACTATGTAAGATGGGCAGGAAGCAGCTGCTTAGAGAAGCTCAGGGCCTAAAACCTAAAGAAAAATGAAACTGGGCCAAAAGAAGAAATGAGGCTGTAGATAAGCCATAAATTGCTAATACTTGAGACAAAACAGGAATAGTGTTACTATTTCTTGAAGCTTCTAACTGTTATCTGATGCAGCAGCACTACAACACTGGTAAGTGCAAGAGGAGTGATGATAGTTTTCTGGAACTAGAAACATTGTCATCTAATGTTCAAATTTTGGGGAACCAATGAAAATACTGATTAAAACTAATTTTGTTAACCTGATTTCTGACTAGAAAGTAAATATACCTATGAATTAAATGTTTTAGATAATTCTTCTGCTAAATTAATATCAATGGCAATATAGTAAAAATTAGTTTTCCCTCCCAACTGACAACATGTATATTCTTAAATTTAGAGATAAGTTATTATGATTTTAAAAAATTTTTCTTCATATTTCATGACTGAAAAGTCCAAAATTAGATTACCCAAAATAAATTTTAGAAATATAATTATTCTTTTAGTAAACCTAAAACCTTTGGCTAATAGAAAATAAAATTTCAGAAATACCATTATTCTTTCAGTAAATCTGAAACCTATGGCTCAGAAAATGTTTTCACTGTGCTTTTTAAAGATTTGAATTTTAAGATTTAAATTTTATATTCCAACACAACACTAAATGCTATGTATTTACCTAGTTGTTTTTAGATGTAGTACTTTGTCTTGTTTCTTTTCCAAGAGGAAGTATCATGGCAAATAAAAACAGTTTAGCCAACTTGGAGAATGCCTGCAATTTTTGGTGAAAATTTTAGATATAACTTTTAATATAACATACTTTTGACCCTTCTTTTTTAAACACTTTAAGGAATATAATTTTTTTCCTTTTCTGAAAATTTATATGCAATGTGTCATTCTTTTATAGGTTCCTTAAGTATATCCTTTTTGTGTTAGCATGAGTCTGTGGCTGTGGGTAAAGACTAATTTATTGTGTCATTATGTTATATGTTTTTGAGGGTAGTGGTGACTAACTGGTGTTTGTTGTTTGAAAATGGCACATGAAACTGTTGTTCACTTTTAGTCAAAATATCCAGGGACTCAAGGAAAAAAAACCACTGATGTTTCCAGTTATCTTTTTTGAAAGTCTACAAATCTAAGTTGTGCTTTGATATTCAATTCGCATTTCATTTTCATTTCAGGTATATTGTTTAGTAAATTATATGTTTAATTTTAACTTGAATTATTCATCTTAGTATTTTCATGAACAATAATGTGGGCATAAGAATTTTTGTATAATTTTATTTGTTGATTTGTTAGAAACTTTTCAAAGAGGTTGGGGTTTTTTTGAAATTATTATTTTCTTCTAGAATCTGTGAAGTAATATTTGTAATATTTAGTGTTAATGAACGTGTGAATTAAGCTGCATAAACAACAGTTAACTGTTAGTTATGCTTTGGCTTCATTCTTTTTATTACATAGCATGACAAATCTTCCATATTGTTTACAGCTGCCAGAGTCATTTCAGTATGTAGAAAGAGTGGGCGTAAATGTTGCTAATGCAGTAATATTCTTTCTCTTGATGTACTGATTCATTTTATTACACTTCTGAGGTACAGTTACATTCATTTAAAAGCACATTTATAGATAAGTCTTTAAAAATCAAATGATTCTACAAATGGTCTGTAAAGAGCAGAGAAAGGATCAGTGTTCTGACCAGTCAGGTTTCCTTTCCCCCTGAGCCCAGAAGACCCTGTTGTCTTTCTGTTCTTAGGAAGTTAGTAATGCTCCTAATTCTTGTTAGATTTATCTAACAACTAGAGTAAACTACTGCATACATTCTACTTGAAAACCACCAGCTAAGGGTATTTTAAATTTTGTTAACGTAATTGGTAATTTTCAGTTGTGTAGAAAAATTTTAGTAGAGAGGTATTTTAAAAATGAAATATTGTTAATAGAATCTATTGGTTGTCTCACTGCACAAGACTGATATAGAATTATTTGAAGTTTGTGGGATTCTTTGAAGAAGACAAGAATTCATCTTTATGATAATAGTTCTTTGATCAGTTTCTACAAAGGGTCAATTTCATTAGACAAAAAGTTAAAAGAAGTTGATAATTTGTGTCCCATATTTATCAGTTTCTAAAGAAGGATCTTAATCATGATTTCTTAGCTCAAAATTTGTTGTCATTCTATTTTGGAATATGGACCTGAACAGATTTCCTATTTTCTGTTCATGCACTTGGTTACTCATACTAATTCAGAAAATTTCTATTAGGGTTAAATCAGAAATAATGCTCTCAGAAAAATCCAACTTGATTGCTTTGATTTTCATCTTTCTGCACATGAGACGATGGAGTGGGGTATTCAATTTTGTATCCCTTTTTCAGCATGTCCTGGAGAGTCTTGGGTACTGCTGCTCTACTTTTATAATTATGTTATCATCCAAGTTGAAATGCATGTCTGACTTGTCTGTTTTATGCTCTTTATGATGTCCCACCTGTGACAGTACAGTTACACCAAATGCCATGTTTTATTCTATTAACAATAATAGCATAGTTACATTTATTTCACTAGTAGCATCTTATAGACAAACAGAAAGTATGTATTGATAAGTGAAAATTCCAAGAGTGTAAGGATTTTATATGTTTTGTCCACTGATGCATCCCTGGTGTCTAGAACAGTGCCTGGTACATAGTAGATGCTCATTAAGTATTTGCTAAATGAATGAATGTAAAAAACAAGTAGTAAAAGAGAACAGGCCTTATTTTACCTCCAGTTTTCTGAGTACCTTTACCAATCAAGTGTACATTTATTTGGGAACTTATATATGCACTAGAGGCTTGGTGCACAAAATTTGTCCACTGGGGTGGAGGAGGGGTCCTTCAGCCCCACCTGTGTGGGTTGGGCCTAAGCCAGCAGTCGGACATCCCTCTTGCAATCTGGGATCCCTCGCTCCTTACCACGCAGCTCACTGCTCCTTTGCGCTGCAGCAGAAGCGGGAGAGGCTCCCGCCACCGCTGCTGCACTCACCAGCCGCAAGCCTGGCTTCTGGAAGAGCAGCGATCCCTCTTTGGGAGTGCACTGACCACCAGGGGCCAGCTCCTGCATTAAGCATCTGCCCCCTGGTGGTCAGTGCACATCATAGCGACTGGTTGTTCTGGTTGTTCCTCCTTAATGGTCGCTTAGGCTTTTATTATATAGATTGTTTTGTTTTCCAGTATGCTTCATTGGGTGTATGTGTGAATATTGTTGGTAGAGAGAGGTCTTCTCCCTGCTCACCATTTGAGTGAAAGAATATATGGTCACTCTATCATTTCCCCTTGTGCCACCATCAGATTAAAAGTAGATCACTGCTTCTTTTCCAAACAATCTAATCCTTCAGAAAATCAAAGCCAAGGGTGATATCATTTATCTCCATGTTTTTAGAATAGTACTTTTAATTTCACTTTTTATATCAGTCTGTTAGTATAAAATTTTTTATTTGAATGTTTTTATTTCTAAATTTATTGTATGAGAAGATGTTACAGGTAAACGATGCATAGTCTGTCTAAATCAAATTAGAATATTCTAATTCTCTTCATTGAAAACTTTATTTATACTCCTCTGTTGTAATTAATATAAATTGGCCTTTAATGGTTTAGATTGTATTCAATTTGTGATATTTCAGATTATAAATTTGAATGTAGAAATGTTCTTAAGTTAATTGTTCCCAATTTTCACATAATGTTCTTTAGCATGTGCATTTTTTTAAAATTCCATTTAAAGTACATAAAAAACTTTAGACATTAATTTTTATACACTTTTCACAATCTAGCAAATAATTATTTCATGACTTTTACTGGTTTTAGCTACTGAAATATATTGAGATCAAAGCAAAACTTTATTTTATTCTCACTCTCCCTTGACTTTGCTGTACTGTTAATCTAGTTATGGTAGGAATAAGACTTGTAAAATATATATCATTGGTAAACTGAACTTAAAATGAATCCTAATGTATAAGAATTCATCTGTGGGGAAAATGCTAAATGTTACATTTAGATGTTAATTGGAGAATGCAAGACGTATTTTTTTAATTTGTCAATCAGTATTTGCCTTTGGGAAAAATAGGACCTATTCACCTTCCTTAATCTACCCTGATTAATATAGGTTAAATGTAAAGGTTGAAAGATGCAATTATCTTGGTTTCCACCCTTACAGGAATTTATGTTAGCTCATTAGTAGGATAATCAGCTTTTAAAGATAAAGGTTAAAAGTGTCTATGGTATTTTATGGGTTTTTAAAACCACAAGTGTAAATAAACATTTTATAAAACACCTTATAAAAAGAATAAAAGAAATAGTAGGAGCTCCAGTGGTGCAATCGGTTAGCGCACAGTACTTATAAGAAATAGTAATAGTTTAGTTCTAAATTATTTAATGTTAAAGATATTGAATGTTAGTGTCAAAATACATTTTATTAAACACAATACCCAAGGAAGAAATATATCTTATAGCAGGTATCAAATTACCCTTGGGCAGTGCATGAAGTGTTTGCCTTTATGTTATACTTAACTGCCAGGTTTCTCTTACAATAAAATTAATCCTTCCTTATACTATGTTTTAGACTCAAATGTCTGATTTACAGTTTCATTACTGTCAGAACTTGAAGGTTAAATAGCGGCATGTAGAACACAGATTATAATTCCCAGATAAATCTCAAGAGTTATCTGGTGGGACCTAAACCAGTCCTCAGGTACACAGTGAGTTTGCAGGGGCACCGCCCCGAGGTGGTACAGCCATTGGCTGCTTCCTGGCTGGACCAGCCATGGTGCAGCACAGCCACCACCATCCTTCAGGGCTTTTACTTCCACTTGACTTCCTTCTGCTTTTCCAAAGTGAGTCTAGGCCTCTGGCAGGGACTAAAGTTCCTCCTCCTGCAGACAAGGGGCAAGGGAGTAAGATGCAGCTTTGCTGCCAAAATTACAGGTGCCAGAGTACCCACTCTTGGGGAATTTTTCAACCAACTAATCACACATATTATACACATATGTAAGTATATGTACACGTTTATGTGTATGCACACACACTCATACGTATTACAAATAAATTTGGATTTTTAAAAAATGGGTTTAGAAATAAAGAATCTCTAAAAATGTAAACCCTTATAAAAAGAACATCAGTTTGCAGAACAGTTCACTATATTTGACTTGTTTAGACATTGCGGAGAACCACATAGCTAATCCAATAAAAGCTTTATTCTCTATAAATTATTCATTGAATGTGACTAATATCATTTAGACTTCTGAGTATTTTAAAGTCAACTTTTGCTGTAATTATCACACTCCTTCTGGGAAAATTTTTCTTCATTTAAAAATGGTCTCTTTTAACATACCTTTAGACTCAAAATATTTTATATTGAACTTTAATTTTTGTACTATATTCCACTTTTATAAGAGACAATTTATGATAAAACCCTCAAATATTTTATTGAATTTGCTTTTTCAAATTCTTTAAAAAAATCTGTCTACAAGATCATTTTCTTGATCATGAGAAATTAGTAAACTCTCATTTTTAGATATTTATCTTTACTGTCATGTAATTAATATTAAAAGAAAACTAGTAAATAGTTAAGGCTGTGTACAGAAATATTCCATTGAATTGCATGTAAAATATCAACTCTTTAGCATACCTCTTATAATTGGTGTGGAAATTTTTGATGAGACAAGTAGTGTGAAATATTTGCTCCCTTTGTGGAAATAATAACTGGTATGTTAGTGATCAGGAAATGTTGGAAACCAGACTCAAGTACTGAGATAATATATGACTTTAACAAAGTCATTTAAATCTATTTTAGTTCTCCTTTTGTAAATAAATAAATAAATGAACAAATTAATAATTTAATTTTTCTAATATTAAAACTCAATAATGCATACCTAATTAGCTTTTCTAAAATTTTCTTGCTCATTCTGTACTTTAAAGATTTTTTTAAAAAAAATATACACAGAGCAACATAAAACTTTAAAATGAGAACCCTGATTGAGAAAATATTGCTTTACAAACTACATTATGAAAATTTCCAAAATTATGAAAAAGCAACATAGTTTTAAGGTAGAAAAATTTAAATGATTCCTTTTCTTTACATGTAACTTTTTAGCCAAAATCTAGTGAGTTTCTTACCTTCTGCGGAAGAAATGACTGGTTTTCCTTTTTGATTACAGAATTCTATCTCAGTAGTTAATGCCATTATTGTATTACCTTGTGTAAGTAAATTAGATAAGTAATTAGAATTGTATTAAATGACTAGAACCTTAATATAAAAACTCATACAAGGAAGCCTGCTGTTCATGTGTTATAACAAGCCAACTCTAGCAACATATGTGCCATACTGCTAGGTTTGGAACATATTTTGTTTTGTAACAATTATAAATTATTTTTTAGACCAGTTAATGGAATTATTAGAATTCCCTGAAGAGGTGTTTGTCTCCAAAATAGCAATACAGAAAAAAATATTTTCTCTCTACATGTGTTTGAATGTTTGTAGGAATAGAGATGGCCTGCGGTCATGGGGATGTACAGCTATTTACATTTCTGAGAGTTTTCAAAGTCAGACCACACTGGCCTCTGAATTACAACAGTTTACCCTATTACAAGTCTTGATGGCGATCCAAGTATTTCTGTATATTGCACTTTCAGATGATGTATTTTATCTTGTGACCTTCCTGTTAATCGTCTGGTTTCTCCGTGTTGGCTCTGTCTTGTTTACACTAGCTCCAGTGGCTGTTGGACAATTACGAGACAGCAGAAGGAGTGAGCCTTCCCAGAAGCACTCTATACAACCACTACCTGCGACACTGTCAGGAACACAAACTGGACCCAGTCAATGCTGCTTCTTTTGGAAAATTAATAAGGTCCATTTTTATGGGACTACGAACCAGGAGATTGGGAACTAGGTTAGTATTGAAAAGTTAGATCATAAATTAACCTCTCTTTTTCAAATTACAGTCGTTCAGCATATTGTTTAAGCAAAAGTACTTGATTACAGATATCAACATATAAAGAAGAAATACAGAATGACCTCAGTATATAAACCCCCACAGGGAAAAGAAAGGTCATTACTCAATAAATACTACCCAACCACTGAGGCATCCTCCTAAACATCAACTGAGCAAAGCTTTGAGGAGAGCTGGTTCTCCAATCACATAGGAAGTGGCAAACAAGCCTGTTAATACAAGATTCACATGTGATCCTTTAAAAGTTAATATGTATCAGTGTCTTCTCTTTTGGGACACAACCATACTAAAGATGATGAGTAAAGTAACATATTAAATGGAAAACTGTCTATTTCTTGACTCTTGAAAAATTACATTGAAATGTCTGGAGTAAGAAATTTAAGCTGAGTTTTTCTCATGTCATTTCTGGAGAGCAATTAAAAATCATTTGGTGAACTTGAAAAATATGAGTGTTTTAAGCCCTGAATAATGACATGGTCCTAATTAATCTCATTTTAGCCTTTTTAAACTCTTGATTATGAAACCATACATGTATGGGAGTAAAAATATAGTTTAGTTTTATTGCATGGAAGCCAAAAATGTGAAGAAGACTCTTAGTTTTTCAGTTTGCTTCCTTGTCAAAATATGATAGAAATAATACTTAGAACTGTGGAGCTTCACTTTTACTTTTACTTTTTTTTTTTTTTTGCATGGCACAAATTTTAAATTTAATTGGACTTTTTATAGGACCATTAGATACTACTGGGCTCTATGTCCAGAGTTTTGAGATGCAGACCTGTAAAGGTGAGGTTATACAGTAAGCAACTCACTTTTAGGGGCTGCCCAGTGAAACCAGGGACTGATAACCTAGTTGCAATTGTTGGAAAAACCCGTTCAGGACTGTACTGAGTTTCCTTGGTTGCTGTCAGCAATTGCTCCTTGACTTGCCTGTATCAGGAGAAATAGCAACAAGACAGGTTAAATCTTTGGCTAGTGACAATTGATGGTGGATCACAGGCAGGAAACCTGGCTGGTGGCTGAACAGTGCATTGCAAAAGTCTAGACGCAGAATGGTTATTTCATATCTTAAACCCTTTCTCCAGACTACTTCCTAGATACTTTCCTCAAACAGGGTCATTTTTACTTTTCTATAATAACACAAATATTTTAAGTAGCTGGGCAGAAAGATATGGATTTTTTTATTTCCTGAGAAATAAAAAATGTGGATTTCCTATAGAAATCCACATTAAATAATAAAATAGTATAAAAATAAAGGTGCTACACTATATAACATTAGATGATCTACCTTTAATTAGTTTCAAGTCACAGTTTTATAGTATCCTAATAAAGGGTTTTTATTAATATTCTTCATAAAGTAAATTGAGCCTTAGTAATTGACCTTATAAATTTATGCTGAAAAGAGTGGTGTGTCAATTTTATTAGATTTATAAGTTCTGTATGTATTCAAAGTGTGAATCATTTCTTTCTGTTGCATTTCAAGTGAACTATTTCTGTTACTTTCGGATTGCTGGAGATTTGTTTTTCTCATAAGTGTATTTTCTTCTAGGTATACTGGTTTTCAGTCCCTTGAAAAAAAGCTTTTTGTTTCTTGAGTATTATTTCCCCCCCAGAAATCATTGTTTGGGACCTAACCTCTTATCTTCTAGCTAATGGCTCAGTAGTTAAGCATATTGTGCCAATATTTTGAAACTCTGGGCTTTATTCAACATTCTAAAGCTCTATTGTGCTTCTTTTGTTACTGAAAGGGATTTCAATGGATCCTATTTTGAAGCTCCATTCAAATCTTAAAACACATCTTTAAAATAGAAAGTGACAAAATTAGGGTTGTTTGGGTTTGTGAATGAGTAGAATCCATACTCTATAAGTGCATATTGCAATATTGCAGCATTTACTTTCTGGTATTCTTTTTTCCCTCTTCTCACTGTGTAACAATTATGTCTTCTGTTCCTTTTAAAATTGTTATATAGTATTTATAATTAAGAATGGAAAGCACAGCCCAGAAGAATAAGGAGAAAAGAAATCCTGTGAGGAAAGTTTAAACAAATGCTGTGTTATGAAGATAGCAGAGCTCTCATATAGAAAAACTGACAATGGTAGGAGTCACAGTACTGAGTCTTTCTACCATGGAAACTAAATAGCACTCCTTTCTACCTCTAAACCAGAGAACAGAAAGAAAATCCATATAAATCATGACACAAATTAACTCAGATAATTTTTTAAAGCAAACTGTATGTAGAACTTTTATTTAACCAGCAATAAAATTAACTGGTGAATTCATTCAAACCAGAACCAGACATTTTCTCAAGTTTTAGAACTAGCTAAGAAGTAAATGAAATCGCCATGTTTCTAAACCAAGGCAACTGAAAAAGTGCCATTTGTAGGCCCCATTTACAAATTAAGTTTAATCCAAGACCATGGGACATGCTGACCTGCCCCATGGCCAGTGGAAAGGAAACCACCTCCCCTGCCCCAACCCAAACAAATGCTGATGTGTAAGAAACTGGACACTTCGTCTGCTTCGTGGTCTCACAAGAGAGACACCATTTCACACTGTAGCCCTGTCATTGGCTGTATCCCCTGGTTAATGTCTGCTGCTTCTCACCCTGCCATGCCTCCTTGTCATTCTCCACTTCCTACAGAGAACACTACTAATGGGGTTTGTATTTTTTGGTTTTGTTTTTTGCTCTATTCTGTAGTGGATTTTGGAGACATAATACAATCTCTGCTAGTGGAAAGCTTTTTATAGAGGCATTAGGTTTTCACACTGGTTCATTTTGCAGGAACTTTATAGGTACTCAGATGCCCTACATTTTTTAAAAATATATTTTATTGATTTTTTACAGAGAGGAAGGGAGAGGGATAGAGAGTTAGAAACATTGGTGAGAGAGAAACATTGACCAGCTGCCTCCTGCACACCTCCTACTAGGGATGTGCCAGCAACCAAGGTACATGTCCTTGACCGGAATCGAACCGGGACCCTTCAGTCCGCAGGCCGACGCTCCATCCACTGAGCCAAACCAGTTAGGGCTGCCCTACATTTTTTTAAAGCTAGCAATATTATTTATAACAAAATTTTAATGTGTTTTCATATATTTAGGGTTCATCTAATATATGTTCTTTAATTTTGGAAGTAAAATTCTGTTTTGTTTGGTTATCATTGTTGAACTTATGTAACCATAATTCATTGATATTCATGTTGAAATTCTCCCACAACTTTTATTTATTTATTTTCCTATTTTATTTTTTAATTGAATTCATTGAGGTGAGATTGGTTAATAAGATTATATAGATTTCAGGTGTACAATTCTATAATAAATCAACTGTACATTGTGCTGTTTTTATATAAAATATTTAATCCACTCCCCTTGCATTTCTTGTTATAAATGAAAGAAAAAAATTGAAAGAGTACTGATGTCTTGCTATATATAGGGTTATGAAAAACTATTTTCTCTTTGTAAAAATTCACATATTTAAAATGTTATATTTGCAAGAATTTCACATTTCATTCAGGGCTAAACTTTGTCATTTCTAATAACAATATGGTCTTGCTCCTGAGCATGGGTAATGGTGACATTTTTATTCCAGGTGGAAATTTAACATTTTCACAGAGAAATTTCCCCATGTCTGTTGTGACACATCTTATTCAGCCTGCAAAACTAATATAAACCCATAAAAACAGAGACTAATAAAATGTTTCAAAATGAGTAAATGCATGCTTCTTTTTAGGTTTCAAAATATTAAATATAATAGACTTCTCCACAACATCTTGCATCAGTGAAGTTATCTTCATCATCCCTGCAGTAATAGAACTTGAAAAATGTAGAACTTACCTAAGAAAGGTAGAATTAAGATTTTTTTTCTGTTGGTTCTGTATAAACTTTTTATTATAAATTATTCTTTAGTGCTCAATTCTTTATCCTGTTAATAAATTTTTGTTGGCCAGAATTTTTTCTCACTCTTACCCTTTCTAAATTAAATTTAAAACATAAATTTTAAAATAAAATGTAGCTTAAATGGAATAAGTGGATTATTTAACAATATTTAAGAGAAAGTTTATAAGGACTTTTTTTTAGGGCCTTGAGCCAGTGGATTTAGAATCTTATTTTGATTCCTCAAATGTATTTACCATCAAAATATACAAGTATCTAGGACATATCACAAATATATAACATTAATATGCTGCTTTTATATTTTTTTCCAAATGAGAAGTTATATGGACATCCTATATTATATGATTAATACAGGTTTGACTGACTTTTTGTGTCTCTAATGTTTGTTGTTCTTTTATGAAGAGGAAACTCCAAGTACCATTACTATGGGATTCGTGTCAAGCCAGATTCCCCTCTCAATCGTCTGCAAGAAGATATGCAGTATATGGCTATGAGGCAACAACCCATGCAACAGAAACAAAGGTAGACTCCGCAATTGTCATTGATATGTCAAAGCTATGTGTTTCTTTAGATGTTTGGTCTCCTTTTTTTCTGAACAAATACATAAGTGTGAAAGAATGTCACTATTGTTGGCATACTTTCACGACAGACAGTTCTCATATATGATTTAGAATTTTATTCATCCTGCCTATTTTCCAAATCTTTCAGAATTACTTATCAGTCAGCCTGTTTGGCCCCTTTTAAGTTAAATGTGACATCCCAAGCTATCCAGACAGGGAAACTAAATACAAGCGTAAAGAGCACACCCAAGCAAATGCCAGCTGGAGAAATGCGCTTCACATTCATGAGATTGTTACCTGCAATTCTGTACATCCCTCGAGCCATTCTTTTTGACACAGTATAAATTCTTTCAGAATGTTCGGGATTTCTTACATTTTATTTGAATCCAACTTTCATAGATGTAGAATTGTAGGTATTCGAGCTGTAAGAAAGCTCAAGCATTCGTGGTTGGCTGGATGGGTGGGTGGTTGGGTGGATGTATGGATGGATGTATGGATGGATGGATGGATGGATGGAAGAAAGGATGGATGAATGGATGGATGGATGGATGGATGGATGGATGGATGGAACCAAGATCTTAGAATTGAAGATACCTCAGTCTAGTCTGGCCACACAGCCTTGTGACAATCAAAGCATTAATAGTCCTATTTTTCAATTAACTCTCACATCAAATGATTTACATAAGCCCATGATGCTGTTATACAGCTGAGGCCTTCTAGTCTCATGTGGCTTATATTACAGTTTGTAGTAAATAAAATGAAAGATATCTCTATCTCTCCCTCTCCCTCTCCCTCTCCCTCTCCCTCTCCCTCTCCCTCTCCCTCTCCCTCTCCCTCTCCCTCTCCCTCTCCCTCTCCCCCTCCCCCTCCCCCCACAGTGTAGTACAGCTGTGGCAGTAGTTATAATTTATATTTTCCATTGAGCATGCAGAATTAGGTAGCAGAAAGAAAGTCTACACATAGGTAACCAGATAATCTGCATCATTCTGCCTAATCCATTGATCAATGACTAGTCCCTTAGCCATCAGAAGTATTAGCTCTAAGTCATTGCTGGAGAAAGAATATATCACACAGGATTCCCTTTTCTATTTTGTCAGCAAGTACTAATTGAATTCAGAGAGAAGTCACAGCCCTTACCTTTGAGGAGTTAAGAAATTAGATGGGAAAGCACATGTTTGGGTGTGGTTTTTTTGTTTGTTTTGTTTTATTTTGTTTTTTAAGTAATGCAGTATGAGAAGTACTAAAATAAAGCTTTGATCAAGGACCTATTGGAATACAGAGGAATTTTTATCAAATTATTGGAGAGGGAGAACTAGGAAATTTCATAGAGAAAGTGCTATTTGAGTGGGGATTTAGAGGAATCCGAAAGAGAGGAACATTCAGGCAGAGGGAATAATGTACGCGAAAGTATAAAGGGGCAAAGTTCACGATGTCTTTGGTAACTGCTCTGATTTGGTGCGGTCGGCATTGCAGAAGAAGAATTGAGGAGGTTGAGTAGTTTAGTGGGAAACGAGATTTAAAAAGTAGTTTGGATCTGAGATTAAAGGATTTAGTTGTATAAGAAGTTAAGTTTGTTCTTTGTACAGAATATAGCTTTGAAGTTGTATAATGCTTTGAAGCAAAACAATGAAACTTTCAGATTTTTTTCTGGAGAGATGATTTTTTGGTTTTAGGCTAGAAATACGTAATGGGAAGAGACTAGAGGTAAAGTGGTTTTACACAGTCATAGTTTCTAGTGCAAGTGTTCCAAACTGAAGAGTCAGGACAAGATTGGATATGATGTAAAGATATCTCAAGGGATTTAGATTTTTAATTCACAGATTCTCAACCATATTTTTTAAGTTGCTGATCCTTATTTTTTGAGGTATAGTTCACGAAAGATATTAAGAAAGGCTCTGGAAAAAAATAATAAATCATAGAACACTAGCACATAATGTGTTTGGAGATAGTGTTTGTGTGAATTGTAACAAAGTGTTATTGTCTTGGGTTATGATTTTTTTCACCTGTTATGGCAATATTTATAGCTTTTAATTTATGAGGTCTCTGCACTCATTTATAGCAGCACTACACAGTGGAGGTGATGGTGCAATCAAGGAAAAAAAGTTTGATTCAAAAATAACACATGCTCAAACTTAAATATGAAAAAAGCTTAATGAACTGCACCTAAGACAGCAGAAGCCTATTTCTTCCTGTGATATAACTGCAAATAAATCCTACCAAGCAAATTTTCATGGAAATGGAAGCCTTTAAGATACATTCTTTATTTTAAAAGCCTGGGTTAGGGAAGCAAGACCTAAGATTTAACAAAGGTCTCTTAATTAAAAGGTTCCAGAGATGTGAAGTTTAACAAGCCATATAAACTCTACAATCACAGTATAGTAGTAAATGTTTTTTAGAATTAGATATAATGTGGATGTATTTAAGAAATGATGTAAAATTTTTAGTAATACTAATAAATTGTGCCAACTTTAGTTTTTACTTTCTCATGAAATAAATGTTAGACAACCAAAGAAATCCTAAAATTTCCTGTAATTTTTTTTAATTATAAAAGTTTTGGATTGTAGATAGTTGCTCTTGGAATGGTGTCTGGCTAACTGATTGCAGTGTTAGTGTTATCAACTTCATGGATCCCTCATTGGATCAGTAGGACAGAGGGAGATTTCCCTTGTGTCTGAAGGATTCTATCAACTGGCAGCATCAGTGGGCCTGAAATGAAGGCAGATTGCCCATTGTGTAGAAACACTTGGATGGGAGAGGAGAGGTTTTCTCCCTAAGTCTAAATGTAGGCATAAGAGCATTTGTTATAAACAATGGGAAAGAGCACGTCATTTGTTTTATGGCTTAAATATGAGATGATTCCAAAACTCAAATGATTCTATTGAATATATTAAAATTCACATAAGAAGAGATTCTCATTCTCCTGTTAAAATACAAGCAACATAGTATTACATATCCTATATAATAAAAGGCTAATATGCAAATCGACCAAATGGCAGAATGGCCAATCACTATGACACACACTGACCACCAGGGGGCAGATGCTCAATGCAGGAGCTGCCCCCTGGTGGTCAATGCACTCCCCCAGGGGGAGCGCCACTCAACCAGAACCTGGGCTCACAGCTGGCAAGCACAGTGGAGGGGGCGGGAGCCTCTCCGGCCTCCATGGGAGTCGGACATCCCCGAAGGGGTTTCGGACTGCGAGAGGGCGCAGGCTGGGCTGAGGGACTGCACCCCCCCAGTACACGAATGTCCTGCACCAGGCCTCTTGTTTTAGAATATTCAAATTGTTTAAGTGCCTCAAGATTTATTGTATTCATCTGTATGTACACATCTTCCATAGTAGAAATGTATGTTTCACATATTCTTATATTAAGAAAATTCAAGTATATTCAGTGATTATTTTGTCAAATAAAAGGGAAGTTTTAAAAGTCATTTTTCTGATAAGTTTGGAATCATAGTAGTTGTAGCAGAAATAATGATCTGATCGCTGTTTTGTATTCCTTTATAATTGTTAGATCTCCTTTACATATGGTATTTCATTTGACTATTTGATAAGGTAGTAAAGGAAAATTCCACCTATTTATAAATCAGATTTCCAGCAACACCACCATAAGGAACATAGGCATGAGTCAAGAAATAAATGGAAACAGCTTCTGATTGAAAAACAGGTGTCACAGAGCCTGTAGTTTAGCTTACTTGAGAAGATGAAGCCATTCTCAAGCTATTTACCTAAAATATAGAAGCAGATTAGAGCCCACTTGATTCACATAAAATCGTGAGATACAAAAGCAGGCAAGAGGAAATATAACTAGACAAGGGTCTTCTATTTGCTTTGGGTTATTTAACACAGCAGGCTGCACTCCAATAGGTCCTTTGAGTATCACTCTAGTGACCAGAATCTAGTCTAACACAGTTTAATAACTGGCTAATTGATGGAATTATAGGTGATCAAGAAGAGGTAAAGTACCCTTGTTAAAGAAGCAGAAGACTGTATAATAGTTGTTCTTTAATACCTTCTGCTGAAAATATTTTATGTGAAAATAACTTACATGCTCACATGTGGTAATCTTTCGTTTCCAAGGGAATTCACCCATAAACTATTGTTTACAATAATTTATACAAATAGATTATTATAGAGCAAAATGGATATCAGTAATTTTTAGAGCTACAAACTAAGTAAAAATGTTTGGTGCAGTTTTATTTTTAATATTTAAAAGAAGCACATAGAGGGTGTTGACACATACGTTTTAGTTATCCTTCCAAATCCCTGCAGCAAAAGTGGTGGAATAGAGCCAAGTGCTTTTGACAATGTGCTTGGCTGTGTTTGATCCCAGTAGCCTTCCTCAAAATATTTAAACTGCAGTTATCATTCCTTCAACAAATACTTAACAACCAACAGTTGCATACCAAATATGCCCATCACATCTAAAAGAGATATCACAGAATAATAGAATGTTAGAGCTGGAGGGAAGAGATCACCTAGTCCAACTCATCTTCTTGCTGGGAAAACTGAAGTTCATAAAGGGTAGACAATTTATCCAAGGTCATAGAGCAATCAGGACTAGAACCCAGTCCCCTTGATTTTATTCTTAGATGAATTCCACCTTAAACAGGTAAGATAACCCAAACAGAAATGTACAACTGTAATAAAATGTTTGCATATGTAATAAAGGAAAAAAATCACACTTTAGTATGTCCTAAATATGTGACAGAATATGTCATTTCCTCCCTCTTCATATGGTCTTTCCATAGGAATTGGATCCTGTGAAAAAAGGAACATTTGTCGTTCTGGGGCGGGGGAAGGGGAGATAGAGGCTTATTAGAAAGATGGTACAACAGGGCTACTTTTGCTGTGGCCGTAGACAGATGTGAAAGCATGCATGTTTCTCAGAAGAGAGTGAGGACTAGAACCTTTGTTATTAGAAGACCTTTCTTCATCTACTTGTCATAGACAAGTGAGAA